CCCTTGTTCGCCACTATTTCAGCTTTTTGGTGGCAAACACATAATCTTTCATTTCTTTTCCTCTTTTCGATTGTTTAAACAATCGAAAAGAGGAAAAGAAATGAATGATTATGTGTTGGCCACCATATAGCTGAAATAGTGGCCAACAAGTGAATTGTGAATATGGCTCATTGGTAATTATGATTAAAATAAGTTGTAAAAAAAATTCAGCGCCAATTTCAATCAGTCAAGCTTTTATTTGACGAAAAAATTAGGCGGCTGTGGGTGTAGGTGTGTGGGTGTGTGGGTGTGTGTGTGAGTGTGTGAGTGTGGGTGTGTGGGTGTGGATGTGGGTGTGGGCGTGGGCGTGGGTGTGGGTGTGGGCGTGGGTGTGGATGTGTGCGTGGGTGTGGGTGTGGATGTGGGTGTGGATGTGGGCGTGGACTGTGGAGTGTGGGTGTCGCTGTGGGTGGGATGTGGGTGTGGGTCCGGTGGTGGTTGGGGTGGCTGTGGATGTGGGTGTAGTTCTTCCTCACAGTCACTCACCCACTCACCCACTCACACCCCCACCCCCACCTCCACCCACATCCACACCCTGATCGTCATTTCAATACACTTCTTCGTTTTATTATTAATACTTTTTCTTGTAAAACATGTATTTTATGACTTTCTAATAGTTTTTTAGTATTTTTTAATGGATACATTATTAGTAATACGTTTCGATTTTGAAAACAACTTCAAGTTACGTTTAGTTAGCGCATTATAAAAACGAAATAAATCGACCGTTATCAAACCATAAATCTGTAAGTACATAAAATGAATACTTTTGAATTATTTCGATCGAAATTATCTTTGAATAGTATGGGAGGCATAACTTCAAAAGACAACACGCCGCCGGAGACAAATATAATTCGTCCTTCTTCTAATATTCAGGCGCGTGTATTTCAGAATTGTATTGTAGTTTGGTTCGATCCTAAAATTCTTAATTCATATGATAATTATCTCCAGTCAATTAGTCAACTTCAATCTGTCATTGCTGGAACTTTTACCTTCTCAGATATTAATCAATGCTTGAATTATCTGAAAAATATTAAAGAAGAAAAAGTTTTCCTGATCATTTCTGGTAACGTTGATCAACAATTTCTCGATGATAGTCAAATTATTTCTCAAATTTACTCGATCTACATATTCTGCGAACATGGAATTCAGCCTAATCAATCGATAAAAACTAGTTCTAAAATCCGAGGAAGTTTTAATCAAATTGAACAAATTTGTATTTTCCTTAAAGAAGACATAAAAAGATGCGATCAAGATATGGTATCAATTACTATTACTTCCTCTAATGATAAGAAACACATAAAACCATATCCAACTAATTCAACATTTGCATATTCAAGAATAGTATTAGAGAAATTACAGGAAATCCAGGATAGACAACCTTATGGGGAAGGTCAATTTCTACGAAAACGCCTTCAGATTGGTGTAGACGATATGTATTTATCGATGATGATCGATGAATTTGAGAAAAACTATTCTAAACATTCGCCCATTTGGTGGTATACACAAGATTATTTTATTCATTCCTTAGTCAATCGAGCGCTGCGAATTATCGATCTGGATATATTAATTAGGATGCATACGTTATTATATGATCTTAAACGAGAAATCAAACAATCAACAACAATGAAAAGCATAATTGTTTATCGGTACCAAAACATGCTCATTAGTGAATTTAAAGAGTTACAAAATTCGGAAGGTGGTCTTTTAGCCTTCAATAGTTTCCTGCTCACAAGTATCGATGAACAATCGCAATTGACTTTTTATTCAGATCTATCAGAAAATTTGAATATAATTGGAGTCTTGTTCGATATAACTGTCAATTTAGCTAATCAATCTACACCTTTTACTTCATTAGGTTCACTAGTTGATATTAGTGATGCGGAAAAACAATTTTTATTTTCCATCGATGCTGTATTTCAAATCAGTAGCATAACTCCTATATCACAACAGTCGTGGCGAGTTCAACTAACATTAATGGATGATCATAATGGTGACCTAAAGTTTCATGTGAACCGTTTACAACAAGATATATCAGGGCGAACACCATGGCACACTCTGATTCAGTTATTAATCAAAATGGACCACTTAGGTCAGGCCGCCGAATTTTGTCAAGAATGGTTTTATCGCTTTGCTGTGAATGGTACCAAAGAAGATGCTGAAGTGTTTTGTAATTTAGCTTCTTTCAAGCGAATCCAAGGCAATTTTAAGGAAGCACTTCTATTGTATCAAATGGCATTGAAAATCTACCATTCGTATCTTAATAGTTGCTATGTCCGTTTAGATGAAATTAAAAGGGATATCGATTTGTGGAGTGATATGAAAAACAAACCCTTATATGCCAAATCTACTCCTCATATGTCGTCCTACGAATTCAACAAACCAGAACCATATTTTCGGTCACCATTGTTTGGTAATATCGAAGAAGAAAAAAAACCGATATTTAAAAGGGGACTACAATACACCAAAAATGAATTTGATACGCAAAAGTATTATGAATCCAACCCCTCTTCTATGGCTGAAGCTGACAGGCATGACTATACCAGAGCTCTCTGCCACTATAAAACGATACTTGATATCCAAGAGAAATCTGCTTTAAATAAACCTGAATTGGCTGAAACTTACATCAATATCGGTAGAATTCACACTTACATGAATAACTATGACGAAGCTCTCCATTACTACCGAAGAGCACGTTATATCCAAGAGGAACCTCCTATAAATAAATCTGAATTGACTGAAACTTACTTCAATATCGGTAGAATCCACACTTACATGAATGACTATGACGAAGCTCTCCATTACTACCGAAGAGCACTTTATATCCAAGAGGAACCTCCTATAAATAAATCTGAATTGACTGAAACTTACTTCACTATCGGTAGAATCCACACTTACATGAATAGATATGGCGAAGCACTTCATTACTACCGAAGAGCACGTTATATCCAAGAGAAACCTCCTATAAATAAACCTGAATTGGCTGAAACTTACATCAATATCGGTAGAATCCACACTTACATGAATAACTATGCAGAAGCTCTCCATTACTACGAAAAAGCACTTGATGTCCAAGAGGAACCTCCTTTAAATAAACCTGAATTGGCTGAAACTTACATCAATATCGGTAGAATCCACACTTACAGGAATAACTATGCAGAAGCTCTCGATTACTATCAAAAAGCACTTGATGTCCAAGAGGAATCTCCTATAAATAAACCTGAATTGGCTGAAACTTACATCAATATCGGTAGAATCCACACTTACATGAATAACTATGCAGAAGCTCTCCATTACTACCAAAAAGCACTTGATGTCCAAGAGGAACCTCCTTTAAATAAACCTGAATTGGCTGAAATTTACATCAATATCGGTAGAATCCACACTTACATGAATAACTATTCCGAAGCTCTCGATTACTATGAAAGAGCACTTCGTATTCAAAAGATGTCTCACCTTGATAAACCTAAATTGACTGATATTTACATCAACATCGGTAGAATCCACACTTGCATGAATAACTATTCCGAAGCTCTCGATTACTATCAAAAAGCACTTCGTATTGAAAAAGGATCTGGCTTTGATGAACTTGAATCAGCTGAAATTTACATCAGCATCGGTAGAATCTACACTTACATGAATAAGTATTCCGAAGCTCTCGATTACTATCAAGAAGCACTTCGTATTCTAAAGATGTCTCTCTTTTATAAACCTCAATCAGCTAAAACTTACATCAGCATCGGTAGAATCTACACTTACATGAATAACTATGACGAAGCTCTCCATTACTACCGAAGAGCACGTTATATCCAAGAGGTACCTCCTATAAATAAACCTGAATTGGCTGAAATTTACATCAATATGGGTAGACTCCAGACTTGCATGAATAGGTATTACGAAGCTCTCCATTACTACGACAAAGCACTTGATGTCCAAGAGAAATCTCCTTTTAGTAAATCTGAATTGGCTGAAACTTACATCAATATTGGTAGAATCCACACTTACATGAATACCTATGAAGTAGCTCTCGTTTACTATCAAAAAGCACTTTTCATTCAAAAGATATATCTTCCATTCAGCCGTATTAGTGTGGCTCTTACTTGTAGTAGCATTGCGGAAATACATTATTCCAATAAAAAGTACTCATCTGCATTAAAGATGCTTGAGTATGCCCTACATGAAAGCATTTTTCTTGAGTTAGATGATCACTTGGTCTTGGAAACCGTACAGAACTGTATTACTTGTCTTCAACACCAATATAAAGATAAATTAGAACAACACCCCATAAATTCGAAATCTATATTAGGATATATAAACGAATCCGATTCAAGCTTAAAATATGAATGTCAATCTTTCAAGAATCTTAAAGAAACGTTGAAAAAAAAAATTCCTCTTATATCCAAAGACAACAAATTAAATAAATCACGTATTATCTCTCTCAAAATACCGGATAATAATCAATCATCGATTAATTATGAAGTAGAGAATTTTGATAATGAATTTAAATTTATATCAAATATTCTTTCAATTGAAGACAAGATACAATATCCAATAATTTCAAACAAAATGGCTAAATTAATAGTTCCTTTGATTCACAAACATTTTTCTGTAGAAAACATCTATTTATACGCATCAATTGATGATGAGCAAACTTCAAATGATTGGATGAAATCTTTTCCTAAAGTAATAGAATCATCTTCGACTGATTTTAAAAAATTAGTGGAACAAATTATCAATGCAATCGATGTTTGGTTTGCACAGCCTTTGGTTTGGAATCGATCTAGTATATTATTTTATTCTATTGATTTTCAATCAATGTCGAGTAGCCATAATACTTATGTTCAACTATCAAAAGATCCTACATCCAATGAATGTATCGTTATTTATCCTAGTCTAGATCGATTATATCCGATAATCAGTAAATGTAAATATGCCCACCAATTTTCAGCTATAAACGATTGTACCAAATTTATCGTAGAACGAGACGAATCATCCGTATTTTTTATTATTTCTAGTAATACGGACTTATTTGATTATGAATCGATAATTAATTTAAAACAAATTCACGCTATTTATTATTTTAATGTTTCTAATGTGAAATTTCCTAAAAATACGAAAAAAATTAGTGGATATTTCGATGATGTCGAAGATCTTTTCAAACAGCTTGATATTGATCTTAAATTTAATCAACAAAAACATTTAAATTTATCACATATTTATATATTTTCTAAATATGATCCCCAAAAGATACTAATTTCACAACTTAATAAGAAGCAAATTGAATTTCTTATTGTTCAATTATTCGTTTATATTTTAAATGAAATACCATCATTGACATTTACATCAGAAGAAATTATAAATGAATTGAAAAATCTACAAATTGAATCCGATGATATTTGTCAAGTTTTTATTGAAAAATTGATTAATGAAAAAATTGATATTTACGAAAATGGACCATTAATTTTGAAGATTGCATCACGTTTTGTACAAAAGCAAAGATTTCATTCTTTACTGATGTTATCAAAAGCATTATTTATGATGTCAGAATATTCAAATTTAACGAAAGTAATCGATTTGCCTGCTTATGTCTATCGTGCTGAGATATTATTTCCAAAAGATTTGGAACTATTAAAATCGAATTGTAATGCTTTTATTAACATTAGTACAATATTATTTGGTACTCGATCCATTTTAACAGCACGTCAAATTGCAAGAACAGCTGCTAACAATGGTCTTATAGCAGTTTTATTTGAAATTGAACTTCCCAAAGATTTAAAAGTGTTGAATATAGATAAAGAATACATAATATTTCCTTTCGGAACAATTTTTCGTTTAAATTCAATAAACCAAGGACCCGATGATGTTTGGTATGCAAAAATAAATTTTGCAAACTTAGATTTTAAACCAATCATTGATTTATTACAATATGAAATCGATATATCATTGACTTGGTTAACATTTGGAAATTATTTACAAAAATTGCATCGAAATGATGAAGCAGAAAATTATTTTAAAATTTTATTGGAAAAACTTTCCATAGATCATACTGATCGATCTTCTATTTATAATAATATTGGTTTAATGTATACAATGATTGGTAAGGAAAATGATGCATTGCAATATTTTAATCTAGCCGAAAAACATTTCATATCGGACAGTGTTAAGAAATTTAAAAATAAAAATATACCTAATATCGATGATTCATCACCAACAAAGTCCAACGTCGATCGTTCAACAATATTGGAACATATGGCAGATATTTATTTCGAACAGAAAAACTATCAATTATCTATTGAAAACTATGAAAAAGCATTTGAATCACGTACTGATCCGAATAGACGCGAAATCTGTCGAAAAAAAATTTCTCGCGTGTTTACTGAAAAAAAACAGAGTTCTTAATGTTTAAAAGTTTCTTCTTGAATATATGTTCTATTTTTCAGATCAAATATAATGACAACATCAATTGTTCCTATTCGGACATTTATTTGCGTTTGGTTACATGATCCTGGATGTACTGTTGCCACCGAAGAAAATATTAAAAAGCTCAAAAAAACATTTCAATATTTTCGTATCTTTACTACTGACAAAGATTTTTATGATTATATGGGTAAAGATCAATTTGCGAGTAAAATAATCTTAATCATTTCTCATACAGAACATGATCAAACTCTTTATAATCTTGCAAAAGTCCCAGGTCCCAAAGAATACTTTCAAGGCGTTTATCGATTTCTACCACAATCAGCATCAAATAACATTGATTTATTTAATAATATAGATGGTTTATTTCAAAGAATTCTTAATGATTTAAATAGCTATTTGATAAAAGAAAGACAAAATGAATCAACAGCTATATTTCGATCAAAATCAAAAACTTACATTCGGTGTTTGCATGAAGAATCAAAAGAAACATTTATGTTTTTAACGGCATTAAAAATTTTACTACAAATGACTCATGATGCAAATACCATAAATGAAATGCTTCGAGTTTTACGTGTAGAATATCACAAAGTTTTCCCTCAAATCAAAAATATCGATAAACTTCAAAAATATAAACCAGACAAAGCAATCGAATATTATACTGACGCAACATGTCTCTTTGCTGCTGTGAATGAAATTTTAAGAACTGAAGATATAAAAGAAATATTTCCATTTCGAGTTTATGTGACAGATTTGCACAATGGATTGAGAGAAAAAAATCGTCAAGGTAATTTTGAACTTCCTCTCAATGTCTCACGTGGTACAACAATGCCACCGAGTCTATTACAAGAACTAATTGATAATGAAAAGGGTTATATCACTATGAATGGTTTTCTTTCAACAAGTATGAATAGAGCTGCTGCTTTGCGTTTTGCTGCAGTTGATACAACAAGTCAAAATAGTCAGGTTGATGAGATCACTCGAAGTGTTCTTTTCAAACTCTGTGTTGATAAGGACATTCAACAATCATTTGCTCATCCATTAGAGCCTTGTTACACTGCTGAAGAAGATGAAATTTTATTTTCTGTCGGTACTATTTGGTATATCGAAACGGCTAAAGATGAAAAAAGTTATTGGGAAATTACTTTAAAATCATATGATGAATTAAATCCGAAGTTAGAAGAAATTTATAAGCAATATACTCAAGATGGTGATACACTTATCGCATTAGGTAATATTTTATATACACTCGGTGATACAGATGGAGCAGAATGGTTTTATCAACGAATGTTAGAAGATACATCACTCGATGATCAGATTCGTGCTTGTTTACATAACAAAATTGGAATGATACGAAAAGAAAAAAAAAATGAAGATTATCGAGTGGCACTTTACCACTTTGAAGAAGCCTTAAAGGCACTTCCATTGCCAGTCGAACAATCAACAGAATGTCTTCAACCTAGACCACATTATATTGACTCTAATCAATCCGTTCGGTTTACCGCTCACTTTAATAGTGGATTTGTACAACAAAAACTTGGTAGATATTCTTATGCAATAAAAAGCTATGAAAAAGCACTTGAAGTCGGAGGTACCGAATTGGAGAAAGCCGATGTACACAATAATATGGGGATTATGTTTAATGAAGATGGTTTCTATTTTCGATCCTTAAAAGAATTCATCACAGCAATTCAACTTCTTCATGATTCTGGTCAATATTTATTAGATTATAACTTCAACTTTGAGAGAGCCAAGACAAGATGTACCAATTATGTTCAACAACACGGTAAAAGGAACAAAAGTACAATGAAAAAATGTGTTGCAACGATCTCTTACAGATGATGTAGTATATGGAAAGTTAAGCAAAATAAGCATCCGACTCGAGTATTTCTTGTCCAAATTCGCCTGACCATCTGTGTTGGTACTCTCTTTGATTGTATTCAGTGCATAAATTTAAAAAACAGCAATTTTTCCTTGAGGAGAAAGTCGCTTATTCTCGTTGAAAACTGCAGCAGAAGCATTTTCATTACTAAAAGTAGCTGCATTTCCTCAAAATATTCGAAATTAAATGACTTTTTTCGAAAAAAATGAATGATTCGAGTTCAAATACTAAAGAGTAAAGATTCTCCTGCATCCACATTTTTTTATATTTCTTCCACGGAAGAGAAAACCGAAATTTCCCTAAACAGCTGTCACCAGAATCGGTTTAAGAGAAAACAAAACTCGAGAAAAAAATTAGATGGCAGAAGTCCTCAAGCTTCTCTCATCTAATCTAGGAATAGGCAGTTTCAGTGAAAAGACTGCAATATTGACAGTTATTTACTGATAATGAGTGCATTGCAGCACCGACTACATTGATTTAGCATAATCATTGCCGCAGTGCATTCACGGTCGGTAATTAGTAAACTGAAACTGCATATCCCTACTTATTTGAGCTCTGTTTAACTCTCCAACAATGACAGAACGTAATGCTGATTACAAGTATCTTATGAAAGACAAACGAAATTAAAGGAACGTTCTAACCAAACCAAATAAAAAGAAAATGATTAAAGGTAACGAGTCACGACTAGCGATTAACAGAGTCGAACCTTCTGAGTGCCCGCGTAGAATACATAGACCGTCAATGAGTGAATGCCTTAAAAAAGTAGAGCAGAACAGTATTATACAAAAATGATGTTGTGGTAGGAATGCCTAAAACATAACTACTAAAATCAATGGTTCTCGTGTTTTTGTTTTCTAACAGAAAAAAAATCTACAAAAAATGAGCAAAATAAAAACAATTTACATTCAACTAACCTCAAAATTGCATTTATTAAGATTAATACTGTAGTCAGTACGATTTTTCATTATTACTACACAATTCAAAACATGAATACTATATATTGAAGTTGTGAACGTATATATTAACAGTCTAAAAATGATAGATGATGGTTTTTGATTAGTTTATTCGTTTTTATAAAGGAGATGAATATTGTTCTTTTTTTGTATGAGTAAAAGTATCTATAGTTTCAAATTTTGAATAAAAGTTTATTGTTGTAGTTGTTTTTAAATTACTTCAAGTGTGGAAATTTTTTTGGTATTGTTAAATGAAACATACACTATCGTTGGAAAAAGAATAAATTATTGTTTAAAACAAGTCTAATAAATATTTATAGCTCTTGACAGGATCGTTGTCTAGGGGTAGAATGATTTTAAATTATTTCACCGCGGGTCTGTTTTTGATGGGAATCAAATCTTTTAATACTTTTATGACAAACAATGATCTTTTTATATCTTTTTGCGTAAATCGATTCCGTTTTACTAAATTGACCAATGTTAAATATCTTGTTGGATCAATCTATTAGTTATATTCTATTGAACACTTTTTAAATAGACTGCGTTCTTCAACAGTGAACGATATCGTAAAATTTTCATATTTGAACAAATAGTATTAAAAGTGACGAAATCGTATTTGTACAATTTTTTGATCGGTTGCAAAATGTTGAATTCTCGTGTTTTTATTCCATAGTTGTTTGATAATTGCTTACGAGGGAACGTTTTCAGGTGCCCCCTTCGAATTTCAATGAAATTTTGCCCATAGATACTACATAGTGCTCTAGTAAGAACTCTAAAATGGTTTCGGTTTCTATTGCTTCCTTCAAAAGTTATGACCATTTTACTGAATTTTCGATTCATTCCTTTGTATTTATCGAAAAAATCAAATTATCGAATTTCGACCCGAAATTTCGTCCATAGTTAGGCCTAATGACCCTTAGAATATTCTAAAAGTTTCAGCTGAAAAGAATGTTCCTTTCTTGAGATATTGAGTTTTCAAGTGAACTCGGTTTTTGTGACCTATCTGTGGCAAGCGACTATTTTTTTGAAAACTCAATATCTCGAGAAAGAAACATTCTTTTTGGCTGAAACTTTCAGAATATTCTAAGGATCATTAGGTCTACCTATGGACAAAATTTTGGGTTGAAACTCGGTAATTTGATTTTTTCTATAAATACATACGAATGGGTCGAAAATTCAGTAAAATGGGCATAACTTTTGAAGGAAGCAGCAGAAACCGAAACCCTTTTAGAGTTTTTACTAGAGCACTATGTAGTATCTATGAGAAGAAATTCATTGAAATCCGAGGAGGGCACCTGGAAAGGTTCCCTCGTTAGAGGTTTAAAAATAAATTCTAATAAAAATAATTTTTTTGAAACTTGATTTACATATGAATTTTGAGGAAAACATCTACTTTTTAAAAGTATCTACTATTTTATTGTCTTTTGAATTCTTCTGAGCAAAATAGATAAAATATATGTCAATTTACGATCAAATAGAAAATGATTGATCTTCTCGTATTCCTCGATTTGTTCTTATTTATCTAAAATGTTTTTAAACTAAAAGAAAGCTAAAAAGTAACCGTTTTCACATTCTCGTCGATTTCATCATCCCAATCATACGTATTATGAAAGTTTTTCACTGTCAATCAACATGCTTAAGTTCAGAATTGAATAGAGACAAAGACATTTGTAATCTATTTATAAATTGTATTGATTTTGTTATTTCAGTTTCTATAAATAAACTAGTAACTTAATCATTTTTTCTATATTTTCTTTGCAGCTCTTGGTAATAAGAAGTTTATTCTTGTCACTCATCCAAAATTTGACAATTCAAAGGATCAACATATTCTAAATGTTCTTCAGGAAGTTCTTCGAGATTCATTATTAGTGATCAACAATCAAATAATAAATGGTAACTTTTCACTTAATGGTAGTTCAATACCTCTACACACTATACATAACGCTTTATATGAATTATCAAATGAATCATCACCTTCAATCTTTATGATTACAGACAACATTCATCCAGTCGATGACAAAACATATTTTAGAAATAGTGACGAACTTATTAACAAACTCCTTGAAGAAATTGATCGCACTATCAAATCATAGAAGTAAAATAAAGTAGTTTAGAAAAAGTTCATTTTTCCAAAGTGATCATTGACGATTACAACAGTATCAAATATGAAAGTTGAACTCATGTACTTTATTACTTGAATTAAACTTTCATGTTTGACGTTGGGGTGTGGGTGTGGGTGTAGTTCTTCCTCATGCATTCATCACATCCACACCCACACACGCACACCCTAGTAGATATCATGTGAATGATTACCTTCACTTTCACTGAGGTGAAACGTAAGTACGTAAGGGTGATATAAATTGCATTCATTGATCATTTGGTTGCTCGATAACAATGGAGTATAAAACCCTCTGGTGAGTATTGTGCTGCAGGACGGCTGGGATCGATGCAACTTGCAGTTATGATTACGGTCAAGTCTGTTGCTCTAATGGTGAGTGAAAGTCAAGCTGTGTTAATGACAAACGCTGAAATATTCATATATGTTGTTGATAATGGTTGTCTTATCTTTTACAGAAATGAAGAAATTTCAAGATTTATACTCATATCAATGCTTCATCCAGTTTTCCAAATCTAAAGCAGCATGTATAAAGATAATTGAGTAGGAAAAAGCACATTTTTATTTGAAGCTTTGTTGTAGGCTGGTTTTGATAAAAGAAGCCCCATCTGTTAGTATCCACATAGATGATACTCTACATCAATTTTATTGATCATTACCGATTTATTCAATTCAATTTGTCCGTGTAAATGTCTAGATGTGTGGCTCTATGTGTGCTTGTATCTATGAGTTGAGAGTAAACGCTTACCTGCACCCACATCATAGATAATTAAAGAGCATATCTGTACTAATTCAGTAGAATTATATTTCTATGATGACATTTAAAATGAGTCGGGTCGAATCGATTAAATTTCATAGAAAGAAACAAATAGTTTTTGAATAAAAGTTGCAATGAAAAACTTGATGAAAAATGTATTTAAAAGAAATCTCTTTTATTATCTCGTGATATATATATCGTAGAAAGATAAATAAAATACAAATGGAAAAATTATATAATATGATATTTATTCTTGTTTAATAAATATTTATTATGTTCTCTTTTGTGATTATTAAAAGACAACACATTCTATAGTTTATTATCATAAATGTTTTCTTTTCAATCATAAAGAAAGATTGAAGGTAAACAAAGAATAATTCTCTTTCTCTGCACATGGATTTTGTTTACATATAACAAATGATTTTGATGAAGATCTTATCAATAGCAAATCTGTCATATTCATAGTCATATAAACTTCTACTTGGTTTTTATTTTGAAATCTTCATTTTCTTTAGCTTTAAATGCGAACTAAAGATTATTGAAATAGGGTGGGTGTGGGATGGGGTGTGGGTGTGGGTGTGGCTATGCATCAGTGAGGAACACCCACACCCAGACGCCACATCCACACCCACACCCACACCCCACCCACACCCCACACCCACACCCACACCCAACCCACACCCACACCCACACCCACACCCCACACCCACACCCACACCCTAATTTTTAATTGTCTCGAACTAAGAACAATACAACAAATAAAACAATCCCCAAAAATGAATGTACTTGCTGAAGAAAAATATTCCCACTGTCACATAATCCGTGATCATGTTTTCTCAAAAACTTCATCATTTGGTTGAAATCGAATATCGACGAGCACAATACAACATACCGATATTCCATCATTTAACTTCGACAGGGCGTTGACAAGATCAAAGCTTTCAATGACTTGAGTGTAGGTGTGCGATGTGTCTGTGAGCATTGATATTGCCTTTTTTGACATCCAGATACATTGAGATATTCCACGTCGATACCCAAAGTCACATATAAACACCGGACTCACATTCACATCTATACCCATTTACACCGAATCACATCCACATGCACACTTAAATACCGTCATCTACACCTAAT